ACTATTCATACAAAAATGTACATTGTAGAAATCAAAAATCGACGTGTCTCGGCGATTTTCCTAACAAGACTCCAGTAATGAGTTAGATAGGGGGGGTAAGACTTATGGTGCTCACTGTTTAATAAAAAAGTGCTTTGTATAAGAACATTATAATATCTGTCTTGCTGCACATTTATTTATGGAAAGCCTTAATTGAGATACACTACAAATTATTTGCAACAAATATCAAAAGAAGCATACATTTTTAAATAATTTTACATTTAAGAGCCATTCCCACATCATAGTTGACATCTTGATACCTGACAGGCATAACCAAGCATTATTCTGATTTTGGCCAAATAAAATGGCCGGTTAATTATTGGGGTTGCCAATAAATTTGATGAATGTGTTTTTGTGGCTAGGGGCGAAATAGTAGTACGCTTAAGTTAGCACCCCCATAAAAAAGTAATTTTTAAAAAACTGCTTATATATTTTTCATAATTGGTAGGCTTGGCGACTAATTTTGAATAAAAATGCCTCCAAAATGGCTATATTTGCAAATATGAAGGTCGCAACCCGCCTTAGAAATTTCACTTTTACTATCAACAGCTGTTGTTTGACAGGTCGTTAGAGAATGTTTGCAATTTATGAAATGTAAAGAATGTTAGGGATGTTGACGTTAGAAATAATTGGAATTCCTAAAATTGTCACATAAGAAATGCATAAGCGGATTTTAAGAAAAGTGATATTAAAGTAGTTAGAATGAACCGAAAATTCTGAAAATCAATAGGGTTCTAAGTTAGAAAGAATTATTCAAGAAGATCAAAACTGCAAGTCAATTAGAACTTTCGTTCTAGAGTTATTGTGCCGGCATACATATACACAGACAACCAGACAAAATTTTTTTTTTTGCATTTTCGGACTCAGAATGATTGGAAACATAAAAAAAAGTTTAAAAAATGGGGGTAAGAAAATGTTTTCGTCTGCACGAATGCAATACTGAGGCCCCATAGGAAGGGCCTCAGTAATTATTTAAAAATGAAATAAATTATTTTATCAAAACAACTAAAGAAATCACATTGGAATAAAAAAACAATAAAAATCATAGAATTTGAGGGTGTGCTTTGGCGTTAAACGTGTTAAGTTTTTAGGATGTAATAAGGTGTCCAATTCAAAAATGTATTTATATACTTGCTGGATGTTACAAGAATAGCAATTTTCTTGTAGAAATGGTATACTGTGACGTAACAACTGGATGTCACAAGATGCAAGGTTTTTCTGGATGTCACAAAGTGTTGTTAATAAAAATATATACCGTGTATACTTTGGATCTCACAACGATAGGACGTTTTATTTTTTTAAAATGTGTATGGTTGTAATATTTTTCGCTCAGTGATAATATTTTTTAAATTAAAAGAAGTCATATTTTTATTTTTTCCCTAAAGTCTTTGTAAAGGGTGGATGTCACAAAGTCAAAATTTTTGCTGGATGTCACATGATACGCTGGTCGAGTATATATATATATATATATATATATATATATATATATATATATATATATATATATATATATATATAACTGATGGCAGATATGCGTCGGTCTCTCGCGATGACTTCCTCATTAAAAAAAAAACATGATTATCTTTAATAGATTTTTGGTTTATACCATTTTATGGAACAAAAAAAATTACAGAAGGAACTTTAAATAGACTTGCTGCCTTAGACAAAATAAAATCATTTAAACGTTAATATAATCAGAAAACATTTTTTTTGAACTTGAAGACATTACTATTTACTCGACACTATAATTAACAGCAGACTAACAACAACAGCCCAAAACAAACCATCTTAATTCTCTCAGACAGCCAAACAGCATAAAAAGGCCCTTGGTTCAAACAGCATCAAGTCAAAGCTGGTCTGGAACTGCCTTGGACTAGGTACTTAATGATCTGGCAACCCACAATAAGGTAAAACTAGCGTGAGTACCTGCACAGGGATTCTTATTTTCAAACACGACATGTTATAGAGAAAGTAAAAGTTGGAAAGGCTTTTGGTAGGTAGAGAGGGAGTAAACGTTTCATAGAATAAGTAATTGTAAATTGTTATCGGCGGAACCGGACAATCGCATGTATTTATGGACTATAAATAATTATTAAACATGTATTATAATATTCAAATCATAATTTTACAAAATTTCAATAGCTATTTACAATTTATTAAACTATTTACTATTAATATCTATAAAATAATTTTGTACGCCAATGTATCGCGTCCACTTCGGTGAGATCCTCAGCAAACCTGTCAATTTATGTGTATAAAGTGGGAGAACTGGCAAAAGCCTTTCCAACTTTTACTTCTGTTCTATGCGTATCAGAGAATCATTACATAATCGCAGTCTCGATACGTATCGTATCGAAAAATCCACTGCCGGTATTGGTTAGAGTGACAGAGGGGAACGACACATGACAGTTCAGAATATGATAGAAAGATGTCCCCCTTTAATAAAAAAAATTGTCTACGTTGACGCAGCTTCTGATAAGTTGAAGTGTTTTCAGTACGTTGTCAACGCACAAAAAGAAGTTATTGGAACTAAACTTTTTTGGAAGTAGTATTTGTTATGTTGGGAATGGGATGTTAATACAATGCGACCTAAAAGATCTATTATGTTCCCTTCTGCCACCAATGAAGTATGTAAATGTTCCATTGCCTATAACGACCCTTCCAATCCTATCTTCTCAAGGAAGTGTAGGATTTGGAGTGGCTTAAGTTAGGTAAATCTCCCTCTTCTATTTGATATGTTCCTAGGTATAGTGCCCTTGGATTATGAACCTCTTCGAGAACAGAAACGACAATCCATTTCTTTTGGTAGCATTCAAATCAAATGGAGTCTTTCTCATTAAAAGTCTGTATAGGTGAGAAGATGGTAGAATAACGAGCAACTAGAAAAGCAATGATTAGTTCAGAAATAATAGGTAGACCCTAAAAAACGTGGCGGGGTGTTGGAAATAACGATCATTACTATTATTACAAAATAAAACACATTTGCTTTAAACAATCATTTTTTATTTGAAATACTTTTCCCTTTAGGAACCAAAATTTCTGAACGTCAGTCTTAATAATAATAAAACCTTAAAAAATAAAATAATGATCTAAGTACATAATATAAATTAATTATTTACAATAAAAACTTTTTACAGCGATCACTATAAGAAGTATGTACAATTCTTAATTACCGATTAAATTATGAACACAGGAAAACAATAATAACAAGAAATGTGTCACTAAAAACGTTCGTTCATGCAATGCGTACAAAATTATTTATAAAAAAGATGTACCAACATATACACAATGCCGAATAATTTTTAACAAAACTCTATACACCATGCAAGATCCACATAAATCGCCTAAATTGTATTTTTAAAACAAGACTTTCACTTTTCCTTTTAAATTAATCTGCCGTTTTAAAATGTATGTTTGGCCAAATTTTTCAGAGCTTCAAAGAAAAACAATAATTACTGCAAGAATCGAGTAATTGCCTAAAATTTGTTTTGCTTCTAAAATTTAGAATCTGCTTCTTTAAAAATGTTTTTGTATATGGCATATAATGTTCATTTCTTTAAATTTTAAGCAGTACAAAATTTGCAATTTTATTCACTAAAAAATTAATACATTCGTTGTATAACATATAATAGAGCAATTTTCCATGATATTACTTGATACCTTGGATTTTAGTATTTAAACACATTTTTTCAGTTTATTATTTAGTCATTTTTATCACATGCAGACTTTATTATGAGTAACTTATTTTAGTGAATGTTTGCTCAAATACCCAAATTTTCTAAAAATAAAAAATAACTAGTAAAATAAAGTGAAGTCTTGCACTCTGTATAGAAACGATTTCAACCTCATAAAAACTACTATTAGGTACTAGAAAAGATTTCGTTCATTCACTGTTTTTTTCTCACTGGGTTTGTGTGGTTTTGTCTCAAATTTCTCACATTTATTTTATAGATAAAACTATAAATACTGGCCTAATCTCAATTGATTTTAAAATAAATAAATAATCGAAATTTGAGAACTGGATATTTTTTCCTAATAAATAAGGTTAAAAATGATTTTAAATATGAAAATAAACAGCTTAAAACAATTCAAATTTATATAAAATAAATAGTTCAAAATATATACACATAAAAATAATTTAATAAAAAAAATGGGTAAATAAATATAATTATTATGCATTGAGGTGGATTGTCATTTATTATTAATTATTATGTAGCTACCCGTAAACATTTTATTTCAATTTGTAAATAAACCAATGCTATGTGTACAAAAAAACAGTTCATGAACTTTTTACACTAGAAACATGTTTTATCATAATCAGCCACAAAAACATTTGGAAAAATAAAAAATAAATAATTGATATAAATAACTCTGTAGCTCACTTGAAATCATCACAATGTGTAAAAATTAATCAAGGTTTAAGTTGGCCCCATCAAATTATTTCAATGAATCACAATAATTTTATAATAACTTATCAACAAAAGTTGTTGCTATTGATGAGTTATAACTTGGTTAAAATCTAGACATCTATTATTTAAATTAAAGTTATTTTTATTTTTTATATTCATCACCAACAGCACCAAATTCAAAAAATTCAATTCACATTTTATTTAAAGAAAAATCTGCCTCTTTACTAAACAACATTTTACACTGTCAAAAACAGAAGAATTGAAAAATATATCACAAGTAGGGTTTGTTTAGTGTGTACATTAAAAAAATATTGATGATGTCATTCCTCCTACACGAATCATCCTGTATGTATTAATTTCATTTGAAAGAATGCTCAAATCAAAATTTTACTTCTTCAAGCGATTTTTCCAAAAGTTATCACTTGAATTTTTAAATAATTTGTCCATTACTTTATGAAAGAGCATGTAGTATTTAACGGATGCAGTATATACCGTCGGCGTCGCTGGAAAGGCAAAGTGGCATAAGTCAAAAAATGCCCAATTTGAATTAAGACCATCACAAATCTGTTAAAGTGGATATCTTTGATGTGACAAAGAAGCGTATCTCTCCTCCTTATAGTTAACATAATATGGCAAATTAATATGCACTAAATGCGTCTCATGTAAAATAGCTAAATTGAAGTTACGCCTCTTTGTCTTTCCATTATTACAAACTCTATGTGATATATTTTTGAATTAAGCTTTCCATTGCGTTTGCAAAAATTAAATAATATATAGGGTGTTCCACTTTTTTCACTGACGTCATTACTCACATGTTCATTACATAACTTTTTGTTAAAAATGGGGAAAATTGAAATTATAGACTTGTTTTAAAAATAGATATTTTATCACTTCCCAATTTTGAAATCAGCATTTTACAAATGATTTATTCTCAGTTAATGGCATCAAATACAGAGCTTATTTTTTCTTGTTAGGCATACGACTAGTATATATGTTAATAAAATGGCAACGGAGCAACAGCCAGTCTTCGACAAGATATGGTGGTGGGATATTAGCTGAACCGAATATCAGTGAGAATAGCGATAGCGAGGATATCGTAGTTGCCACATGTATGCTGTGAATGTAAGGCTATGCCTAATACAAAATATTACGTACTGTATTTTGACACTATTCTTTACATTTTTTGTGCTTAACACCCCAAACTTAGTTATACAAAAAGTAGAAGTTTTTTTTAAATATTGTTGTATTTAAACTTGTATTTTGCAAGTGTCATAAAATCTAATAAAATTTTGACTGTCAAAATTACTTTTTTATGTTTGGAGAAATTTTGGACATTTAAAGACCATTTTTTAAAGAAATTATTGTAATTACTGTTAAACACTGATTAAATGCTGATTTATGTTCAATTTTGAATGTATTTATTATCAGGGGCGAACTTAAACCTGAAGAGAGTCCTGGCACAGTCAGTAGGATTTTATCGAAAATTGACGATTGGTAAATAACGAATATCGTTAAAATCTTAACAGCTAATGAGAAGTTTAGCATAATCAAATTTGATTTTTTAAATAAATTAAAGCAGCACACGTTCAAATTACAGTAACTACTTTTTTTGGAACAAGTTAGTTGAAATAAATCAAATTACAAAATTTGATACCAAATTAAAAAAAATATTAATTTTTTTTTAATATGTCATAAACGTCTAATGGCTGATGGACAGTGGACAGTACAACTACATTTCATAAATACCCACTGTCATTAAGCAGTTACTCCAGATTTTATTTTAAGACAAAAATTTAAAGTCACTTATTATTTACATTTTGTATATTTGTTTACTTGTTATACAAAAAAAAAAGTTAAAAATCGATTATATTTCAACAAAGTTGATCCACAAAATGCTTATTGCTTCTCAGTATATCACAAAAATCAGCAAAACTTAAGCCGCGCGACAGCATACACCTTTTTTGTCAATAACCAATGGCAAAAGGGTACAAGGTGTTTCTTAAAGTCTCTAAATCTAACTAAACTGGAAACTGAAAAACCTCTAAAGACAATTCTTATCGAATCACTGTATTATGTAGTTTTATCCTTCAAAATCCAAATAATTCACAAGGGTCTAAAAAAAAAAACTGCTAATTTTAGGTCGATTCATGACAATGGGTGAAAAAATTACTGTTCTTTTCATTGCTTAATATTAGGTATCAAAAACACCGTTTTTTATATCTCAAGCTTGAACCCAATAATCAATGGAACATTGGCAACCAAGTTAGGAATTTTGTCATCGTTCACAAAATGAATTGGTGGTTTTGCAATCGACTTGAGGGGACCGCAATAAGCAATACTGAATGATTACTGTTGTATGTAGACCATTGGTCATTAAGAATTCGAAACAAGGCAAAGTTAGAAGTATTAGAAAAATGTTCCAACTTCCACCTTCAGTCAAATTAACAGTCGTTTTATAAATACTGCGAAATATTCACTTTAGTAAATTGGTCAGCAGTCAAAAATACTAATAATAGTATTATAGTAACTTTTGAATTTACCATAAATTTTAGGAATTTCTTGTATATTTATGGTTCATACACCTTATTTTTGAATTTTTGTTTGATCATCTTGGTATGTAGGTTTTTCATTTAAATAAAACTACGGTTTTAATTTATGTTTGGTAAAGCTCGGCCTGTTTTTTTTTTTGACTTCTTTAGCACTTTTTATTTTTGTCATTAATTTTCTGTTGCTTTTTTTTAATTATTATTATTATTATTATTACTTCTTTAAAACAATAATTATTTTCTATATAGATACTTAGACATTATTAAACATTTTGTTTGTAACTCTCTGTATGTGAAAGGCATGCATCAAAAATCCACATTGTCTAATATCAGCTTTGTAACTATAAAGTAAAACAATTATTTTAAACATGTAAAAATAACAATAATAATAATATGTTTTAAAATATAACAACAAAAGTAATAGAAGATAAAAGATAAATAATGACCAATTAATAATAAAAATAAATAACGGGAATGAAAAATACTGAAGAAGGCACAAAACAGAGTCTGAAAGCTTTAAAAAACATAAGTTAAAACTGGGGTTTTATTTAAATAAAAAAACTACATCTCAAGATCAAAACAAAAAGTAATAGTTATAGAGGCATCCTTCCCTAGCACAAGCTATGTTTTCTGTGATTCACTCTTTTAATTTTAATAAGGGGTCATTAAACACACCAATCTGTGATTATGTCAATTCGTCGAATGTTGTACATATCAAAAGCATTAAAGATAGCTAAACCATTAACTATTGTCAATGTGTCAACCGTTTACAATAGTCACCTAGTTAATTTGGTATAACTATATTCAACTAGTTTGAAACAACCAACGCTTGTTTAATAACCAATCAATGATTTAAATTTCACTAGCAAATTTATCTAATTATACACCCAAACTGCAATTGCCCTTGATTATTGATAAAAAAAACCTTTCTTTTAGAACCCAAAGTCTCTGAAAGTACCAGGACCCCAGAAACCTTCCAACCGTACCTAAATATGACGTCATGACAAAATACTATCCAAATCTAATGATGGGTTCTGCTGCAAGTTCAATATGGAATCAATGGCGGATTGCACCTGCTCATCGATACTATTGTTCTCGGGTTCGTTGTCCTCGTGCGAGGAAAAACTGCTGTTCTGCGCATTCTCGTACGCACACGCCGAGCTGCCTGCGGACACTACCACCTTCGATTGCGCGTGCGCGTAGACCGTACTACTAACCACACTTTGTACACTACTTCCGCTAGATATAATTACATCTGTCGGTCTCTTGTGATGCTTGTCGACGCGAAACCGCTTAAGAGTTTCCAACCGGGAATCGCTGCTCGCGGATCTTTTCGACTGCGCCAATTTCGAATCGTTTTGCTGCGGCAAACCCGCGAGCTCCCTCTGTATGCACGCCCATTCGTCGTAATCTTCTTGCTCCGTAGGAATGGCGTTCGCATTATTCGAGTTTGGATTCATATTGTTGGAATTTGAGGTCATGGTATGTGTGTGCGGGGGCGGCGGTAATGGCGGTGGGGGTAGTTCAGGCTCGGCGAGGGGAATGTTGAGGAGTTCATTTTCGTAGTCCTGGCGAAGCTTCATGAGGGATTGTTGTTCGTCGTTCAAGAACATGCGGTCGAGCATCATCAGTTCTGAAGTTTGCACTTGGCGCTAGATGAAGTTAAAATAGTTTTTTTTATTTACCCATTAAAAAAATAATACAATAATATAGAATATATATCACACAGTCAATTAATAAGAATAATATGAAAATATTTTCCAACGAGATAGGTATACAATTTTTAGGTGCGACAGTAAGATGATGAGAGGAGGAGTAGTCTTGGATTGTCCCTTAAATTATCCTGCCAAAGCTATTTGTGATTTTTTCTCTTATTATAATATTAGACAATTAAACCATTTTAGACCGTCAGATAGTGACCGATTTAGGTGTCCCATTTTCTTATTCAAGCCTCGATGTTGAATAGAATGAAAAGAAATTTGGGTATATCACATGGATAATTTGATTTTTCTTAACAGTAATATTTTCCGAACCCAAAATGGACTTATCCATTCGGGTCATTCAAGCCAATTTGTTTTTCGGAATAGTAAACAAGATTACGCCCTTATTTCAAACCCTTTAGCCATCTGAAATATTAAAGCCTTTGGTTTTCCAAAGCCTAGTTCTATTAGTTAATCATTTAATGAACATGGCTTGCGTGAGAAAACATCGACAACAAGATACCTTTAATTTTTGTTAAGGAAAATAAAATTTTCCATATGTCATCCCCAGAAGCCACTCGTAAATTTCCTTTCAATCTACTCAAAATCGATGTACTTTCCAACCCTCTTCGAGGCTTGTATTTAAAATTAGGGCATCTAAACCTGTCGCTATCTGACGGTCTATTTTAGAAATTCAAACAATGTTTTGATATATTTAGTAATTTCTCAGAATTTTAGAGTTTGTAATTGTAAAATTAGGTGATTATTTTGAAAAATAATTCGGGAAAAACTGAAAGTGCTTATTTATAATTCGGGAAAAACTGTGCTTTTTTCTATGAGATATTTTTTCGAACTCAAGACCATTCAGAATTTATAGACCTTTTTCTATATTACAAAAGTGTATAACTATTCTTTTTTTTTTAATTCAACGTGCTTTTCTTTAAAAAACTGTGTGTACTTAAAAATATTTCAAAATTTCCCACGACGTGCGACGGGTACCGCTAGTTTTCCTTTATTGTTCTCAGCAGAATTAAAAAGACTAACTTGATAAAAAAATCATATATAAGAGATTTAAAGGGTATGGGAACATTAATGATTACAATGTATATTCACTAATGCCTAAATTATTTTTGGAAATTTTTTCGAACTCAGAAATCTTTTCTTAAAATATTCGGGAGTGACTCGGAGTGAGCCAAACTTTTTAGACAAATTTTGTAATCATACCGTCGCGTCGTAATATCATGTACATGAAAGAGCTTCTCAAATGTGAAAAAAAAAATTCCAGTGTAATTTCATGCACGGTACCCACCAAGAGAAAAATTTCCGAATTTTTTTTTTGGTTGTTATGGAAACGTTTTAAAATAACAGCATTTGATCGTCTATAAAATAGAGGTGTAAAATTTTCTGTGTATTAAATTCTGAAGAGTGTTTTGCAAATTATATTTCTCGCATTGATAACTCTCTTAATGATAGCCCAAAGTCTTTGTAAAATTAATATAAGAATAATGTTTTTTTGATAATAAAGTTGGCAATACCAATCAAGGAATTTGCTGACTTATCTGTTGATCATTTTTCTAAAACTTACAATGATGAAGTTGCTGATGTCTCTCCGATTGATAAAATATTAGAAAGGTAGTTCATATTCCAAAATTTTCTTTCAAAATTGAAGAGATTTTTAATGAAATTCTAAGTTTAAATGATAATTTAAGCCATGGTCTCAATGGCATTTCCTCTTATTTTTCTGAAACGATGTGAAGCTACACTAAATCCCCCCATTCATATTTTGTTTCAACAGCAGTTAGAATTAAAATACTTTCCCACATTATAGAGGTAAAGTTTTGGTGTTCCTGTATTTTAAAACCGGGGATAGGTGTGATATAATATACAGAATTACACCAATTAGTATGTTATAGATCAAACCAAAACTTGTGGGCAGCCAACAGGACCCTTGCTGACATCTAAACAGCTCAGGTGCTCAAATATTTCGGAAATAGATATGATAATTTACAGCATGTAAGTGGGTTGAATATGGTTGATCCTAATTAAGGCATGATTGATCACTATAGATTGAGTTAAAGTAATAATATAATGATCATATATCGAAATTACAGATTTCATACCAAATGCTAGGGAATAAAAGTAAAAATTAATTTTATAGTTTGATGAATAATATTATTCATTACTTTCTTAATGATACTCGTAATAACAATTTTTAAAATATTCTTCGAATTAGTGTGATCTCAATTCTATAGTATTGCCAAATCATAAATCATCATATAAATGATTTTTTTCAACTTACCATACTCTCTTTCATGAGCAGATATTTGTATTTGTCCTCCATTTTTGAGAATTTGCCGATGAAATGTTGAGCCGTTAATTCGAATATTTCGTCCGCTTTATCTAGGTCTTTTTCCGACAAGACTGGTTGGTCGAGACAATGGTACCTTATCAGTCTAATGCAAGCATCCTTTTTATCCCTGAACGGTGTATGGATGTCAGGTTTCGTCGACCCATTTTGGTCCATCGTTAGGTGTGTTTCGATCCTAAAAAAACATAATTTTGATAATTATTATTAATAATATTATTATTAATAATAAAGATCAGTAAGCAGTAAAACCGATGAGACTGATCTAGCATTGAAAAGTCACATTTTTTCACTACATAGTACATAACATTAAGATATAACAAAGCAGTTATCACAATACATTAACCTATATCACAGTTTATCACAAAATATCAATTGGTATAGTGGACCATGATGTTTGAAGCATTTTTCAATACTTTATCTAAACGATTCTTGAAATGGTTAACTGAACTCGATACGATAGTGTCTTGCAAGTTGTTCCAAGAATACACCACTCAGTTGCTTAAATCATTTTTTCTTTGGAGCTTGTTGTTCTATTTTGATAAACATGAAAAATATTTTTACAACACCAATTCCCTCCCACTAGTTCATTTGAACGTTTCAATCAGGTCACCTCTAAGTCTACGTTCTTTATGTGTTTGGAGTTGCAGAATGGAAAGCCCTTCCAAATAACTACTGCCCTGAAGCTCTGAAGGGATTCTAGTTCCCTACCTTTCTTTGGACTTTTTCCAACATTTCTATATCTTTAACAAAATATGGGTTCCAAACTGGCATTACAAATTCTATTTTGGGTCTTATATAGGTTTTGTATAGTTTGGAGATCAGTTCCTTTGAATGCAATTCTGATTAGATAAATCATTGTGTTTGCATTTTTCCCATTTTAAATCTGAAGATATAAAAACGCCAAGATCTTTTGAACTCTAACTGTTAGCAGACTTTCACCACTGAGGTAATACACATTTTCCGGATTATTTAGGTCTATGTGTAGTACTGTACATTTATTATGATTTAGGGGAAGCAACCATTTATCTGACCAGCTGCTAATTGAATCAAGATCTCGTTGTAAGACTTATTGGCTTTTAAGAGGGAAGCAATAATATTTTGCATCATTTGAAAAATATTCTGAAGGTGAGTTTATGTCACTGACCAAGTCGCTAGTGTAGAGGATGAATAGTGATCCCAGCACAGAACTCTGTGGTACTCCACTGATAACAGGATGATTTTTTGATAGTTGACCATTAGGGTTGCCACCTTTTTGAAAAGTGAATTAAGGACTACGATGCTGACGGTTTCGGTAAGTCCTCAGCTTATATATTTTTGTACAAACCATGTCCCTTCCAAAGATATGTGCTGTAAACAAAGACATTTGCCGTAAAAAAGGACATTTTAAGCTTTAAAAAGTCACAACATTTTGCTTCAAAAAAGGACAGGTGGTAACCCTATGACCATTAACTCTGACACAGAACTGTCTATTAATTAAAAAATGCCCAATCCATTTAAGGAAATTTCCACTGACTCCAAGGTGTTCTAATTTTAAAAGTAGGCTCCTATGAGGTATTTTATTTAAGGCTTTTGCATAGTCCAGGTATATCACTGTTGGTTCACAATTGTCATGCCAAGTTGTCCACTGATTCAGAGATGAGAGTAAGATACTACTGATCGTTTTGGTAGAAAACCATGTTGTGATAGAGGAATTAATCTATTATTCAGACAAAAATCCGTGATATCTCTGATTATTATTTTCTCCATCTCTTTGCATATGTTCCTTGTTAGACTTACTGGCCTATAATTTTCAGGATCATGTTTACTTCCTTTGTTAAACAGTGGTATCACAATTGCATGCTTCCAGGTGTTTGGTACTACTCCAGTGCCTATTGAATGATTCATTACATCTATCAAAGGTACTTTTAGTGATTCAACACATTTTTGTAAGAAAATAGCAGGTATTTCATGACTTCCGGGACTTAAATCAGTTTTTAGACAGTAGATAGCTTCACTAACTTTTTCAGGAGTAAAAAACACGGTTACTAAATCTGAAGTTCCCCTAGAGGTTGTTAGAATTGCAAGGTTGTTGCCAGGGATTTGGTTGCATACACTCTTGAACTGATTAGCAAACCTTTCAGCTTCACATATTAAAGATTTCAGACGATTATTTTGTGTTCTGTAATTTCTGTAGTCACTATCATCCTTACTATTAGTATATTTATCCCATAAGCGCCTTTTTTTTTCAATAAATTATATTACTATGAAAAACTACTGAATCAAATTATAGAAACGAGATTGTTAAGTATCTAGCTGAGGACTCTAAGCCCAATTAGAGGCCACATTAGATCTCACTACAGCTACTAATTTTAATGTTGTGGTCATTATGGTTTTATATTTAAACCGTGCTGCTAGCAGGAAGTCACCAAATAAAGTGAAACAAATTCAGAACTGACAGATTAAATGCAGGAGTCTCAATTAATTGTCCTAATTACTGTAAATAGATTAGCAAAGATGGATAATTAAGTGACAACCTGTAAAAACTTGATTCATTCCAATCTGCAATATACAAGCGTACCTGTATATTTAAATTTAAAAAATATAATGATTTAAACAAGGTACAGTCTTCAACAATACCTGTATCCCAAGTGACTAAATTGATGTCATTAGTTGGCTAAAAATGCCATTCATAATTTCAGTAGTAACCGTAAAACAATTTTACTGCCTATTTGACTGAACCGGTATTTAAGTTATCATAAAAGTCACTAATTGTCAATTCATTGTTATGGAATATCTTATCTCTTTTTTTAAATAACCTTATTTGAATATGTGGAAGAAAAACTGTATTGAGATTTTCTCAAAAATTAAACCTCACATAACCAGAACGTCAAATCGATTCGCTTTTAGGGTATAATTATGGAGAAACACCAACATTAGAAAGATTCAAACACTTCAAAATAATATTTACCAAGATTTTGACATTTCAATTTAAAAAAATTTCTTGAAAGCATTAAAGACCAACTAGACCACCATGTCAATGCATACTCTTCATAAATTGTTGTATCCATATTGGTGGATTAAATTTAACACTTTAAATTCTATGTTTTAATACGTCAAGACGTAAATGTATATTAAAAGAGCATCAAGTAAAACTTACAGATTAGCCTTCTTCTGCATAAGCTGTTGCTTCTGCATCTGCTGTTGTTGAGCAGTAGGCGGCGCAACGGGCTGCGGACAGTTCAATCGCTGGTTGATCACATGATTGAAATGCGTCACCTGTATGTGTCCATGGTGTAGACTAGTGGGGGTGTTTCCATGATGTCCAGAAACTTGATGATTGGCGACCACATGATGAGTGGCGGCGTGAGTATGACCTGGTGTGAAACTAGGAGCAGGATGAGGCTGAACGGGAGCATGCGTAGGAACCAACGCCTGTTGTGGTAAGACACCTTGTTGATGTGAGTGTTGATGTGGACTCACTGACTGATGAGGAGATATTGGAGAGTGGGGATGGTTAGGTATATTTAGAGCAGGTATTTGGTGACCAACTGTGGAATGGGGCGGTACGGAATGAGTTATGTGGGGGAAATGGGGCGAGGTTTGGTGATGTGGGTGAGAATGGGCGTGTTGTACTGGAGATGGGTGGTGATGGATCGTTTGTGTCGCTGTTGTTTCGCTTGTTGGAACCGAAACCGATATTCTTGGTACACTGTGCGCTTGGCTAGTGATGGGCTGTAAAAAAATATAGTTTCAAAAAACTGTTACAACAATTACTAGAAGGCATAGCTATAATTTATTATGTATTGTTTTCCAATTTGATATATTATTATTAGTATACTGAAGTGGTCTATCATTAACAACATTGTTCAATTTTGGTAGAAATAGTATTAAAAAGAATGCAATCCTCTTGAGAGGGTAAACCGCAGGACAAATTTGTACACTTAATTCCCTTTTACTACCAATTCTCGCAAGTCCTATAAAATTCCTCAGAAATGCGCGCAATTCATCGGCAAATCTCGCAATTCCTCTCAATTTCTGTAAACCTGTAAATTCATAGCAGTTTCCTAAACTGGTACGACTAACTCTCTCTATGGTTTACCCCTCACAGTAACTGGAAGAACGAAGATAGAACTGAAGAAGACAAAATGGAAAATCTGGTGACAAGTAAGTCTTGGCAAATAATAACATATTACAGGGAAAATACGGCTAGATACTAGATAACTATCCCCAGTCTATTAAATATGGTAACTCTATTTTTTGACCTATGCTTGCGCATTCATTTGTAAGTAGGAAATAGTACTAAACAAGGTATTTCCGTTATTTTTGGAAAATATGAAAATTTTTAATACAAAAATTTAATCGTATATATAAGAACGGGGCTATTCCATATGGCTATTCAGATTATTCTGCAAATGTCATTCGGTTCAAGGGAATATTGAATGTATTTCTTGAACCAGTCAAATAGAATTATTTTTGAGGTAAAGGTGTTTTTAATTTTCAAGCGCTTAAGTATGAATTTGAATATTAAAACTCGTTTGAAATTTACATGTATCTATTCTATACGATGGAAATTAATTAATAAAAAACAAGAAACAGGAAAATAATAAAAAATAATGTTAACAAGAAAACATTTTTCTCTAGTGAGAAACCATCTAAATATTGTATTATTGTAATAGTTAAGAAGAGATAATAGTAACCGATCTAAGAACTTTCACAAAATACTCTAAATTCAACTGTACCTCCTTTAAACTGTTTTAAACCAAACGACTGATGGATTCAACTGCATTTTGTAGATTCAGCTCAGCCACATATGTTACAAATGACATTGAGGAGTCTATTCTGTAACGTTTTGGTTAATTTTAACCCCCAGGTTAAGGGTTATTTATAACTATGACGTTTAAATTTTAACCTAAATCTCAATTCGATATTCCATCAATTTAATTTTGTGGTATTAGCTATTGTATAAATAATCAATCCCAGTTAAAATAGACATGGCAACGACTAAAAGTGAATCGAGATTAAGCCCAATGCAGCTTTAAAAATAAGGAAAATATATTTGACATGTAATCATTACTAGATTTATTACTGATAACCAAATAATAAAGAGTACAAAATTAAAAATAAGATCCGGTTATTTTTATAACCCAGGGTAAATGTTAACCAAATGTTTAAAGAATAGACCCCACAGAATGATAAATGACGATTAAGGTTACCGTATTCGTAAAGTGACAAATGGCGTTAACTCTCTACTATTCGTGCGTTTGATTTGATCACCGGAGATCTCCGAGCGCTGCTAACGTGTTTGAATTGACACTCCGAGAGATCCCTAAAGTGTTTGTTTTGCTTTGGACCGAGAACATAGAGCGAGCTCGATGTTCTCAGAGCAGAAGGATCGAGAAGAGGGAGAAATTTGTCTTTGTCACTACCTATCTCTTTTTAATTAACTTACAAACAAATTTGAATCTCAAAATTAAAGACCAGACAAGAAGTCAACAAATTACTTAGCCGCTTTTGTCTTATAGCTAAAATTATTCGTCATAAATAAAACAAAATGTGTGTTTATAAAATACATTTTCTATGTCCAGATCTAATCACAGTCATGGAGTATGAGAGCGAAGCGGGCATTTGTGGTATATGCTGCATTTCAGGGCCATTACCCCTTATTATTAAAAGTTTTTCCATTTTCTTTACTTTTTGCTCACTATTTTGACACACAAACCAGAAACAAAAATCACAAAAAAGCGAGGTTATGTTTTTTACTTTGTTTTATTTGATTTGATTCAATGCTCTATTGTGATGTCATCACTTCTCGGTCTCCTCGACGCTCGCTCGATCGAGTTTCAAATCAAACGCCCCTTAAACAATTTAAGGATAAAAAGAATGCGCTAGTTCAGTGATGATGTAATTATGGTTCCACTGACAATTAAAGTGACAGTAGATTTTTTGAGTGCGTTTTGTTCGTTTTGTTTACCTAAATTATATCGTTTTTTTACTTTTATAAATATATTCCTAAAGTAAGTAGATAGCATGTATCAAATATACAATCGTTTAGTTACCAATTACATACCTTTAAACTATTTTTATGACCTGTAAACAATATTTTGAAATAAAATAAAAACAGTAAAAACGTATATGTCAAATTTATTGATGTTTTTGTTAAAAGTTTGGTTAGAATTAAATGTCAGTGGAACCAAAATGACATCACACTGAACTAGCGCATTGAAAATTTCTGGAAAAGGCTAAAATGAAAAAAGGCTGAACTATGCCACGGTTTGTAGACAACACGGTGACCTCTTTGTCCGTTGTTAAGAAAGGGTGTGATATCACGGAATGAAAACTCAAGCTGACAGAAAATGTTCTGCTGCGGTTCGTACATTAGTTTTTTAAAAAATAATATTTAGTGCTGTTTATATTTTTATTTTTAGACTATATACCTGTGTTGTAGTTTTTATAAAATAGGTAAATTGATTTTTTGAAAGACAAGCTACAAAACGGCATTTCCTATTACTTTTTATTTGAATTATAAAGAAAAATATTATTGTGTGAATGGTTTATTTTAAACATTTTGGATTAGGTTACGGCCTCCGAGCTGAATTCGGATCACAATTTGTTTATATACCAAAATATTTTGAAATTATGGCAAGCCTGGAGCGAGTCGTAGTGTTGCTGTTGGCAAACTATTATTACTTTTTACACTCAAAAATCATGTTGAAATAAAGGGACTGAGCCTAAACTGAAATTAAAGGCTAATGGTAAGATTTTAGAGTATTATTTTGCAAATATCATTCACTATTATGAAATTAATTGCACCCTACATTTAAAAGTAGACGAGATTGTTTCTTTCAAGCATTAAACATAAAGAAAAGCAAGAAAAGTCAAAGGGCTTTACTAAAAGAACCTACATTATTAAAAAAATGGTTTGCTGCAGGAAGTTTTTAGTAAAAAGTAGTTACAAATAATTTTATAGAAGAAAACAAGGGCGTGTTTGAGTTGAGAAGAAATTTGTAAAGCATTCACGATAAGATATTTGAATAAAAGGTGCTATCTTTACCTCATAAATACCCTAAAGTATCCCTTGCTGGGGATTTCAACAAAAGTGGGCTACTAAACTAAATCTAAGATATGGTCTTTTGGATGATATATTTAAATTCTCCAAGTATATGTAATGTAAAATCTCCTCTGTGTATTGTATGTATATAAACACAATAGATAAAACTGTTTTTCTCTAATTGGGTACCTATATTTATAGATTATTATAATAAAACTGGGTTGTTCTGTTTTTTTTTTTTGTTATAAATTATACTGTTCATACATCAAATAACTAGAAACTGACAAACTATATTTTTTATTTCTGATATAAATATACATTGTATGTTTCTTCTGAAGTCCAACATGCCCTTGTTTTATTCTATAAAATTATTTGTAACTACTTTTTACTAAAAACTTCCTGTAGCAAACCCTTTTTTCAATAATGTAGGTTCTTTTAGTAAACCCCTTTGACTTTTCTTGCCTTTCTTTGTGTTTAATGCTTGTAAGAAACCATCTAATCTGCTTTTATTGTACAAAGCTGCAATTAATTTAATAGTGAATGATATTTGCCAAATAATACTCTAAAATCTTACTTACCATTAGCCGTTAATTTCAATTTAGGCTCAGTTCCTTTATTTCTTCTAATGATTTTTGTTAAATTTTTGTGTGTAAAAAGTCTTTGCCAAGCCATCAGCAACACTACGGCTGGCTCCAGGCTTGCCAAAATTTTAAAATCTTTCGGGATATAAACAAAGTGTGATACGAATTCAGCTCGAAGGCCGTATCCTAACCCAAAATAAACCATTTATACTATAATATTTCTCTTTATAATTAAAAAAAGGAATTCATTTGAAATTTGATAGAAATGATTACATGATGTTTCCATGCGATTTTCTAGCTTGTCTTTAAAAAAATCAAATTACCGATTTTATAAAAACTACAACACAGGTATATAGTCCAAAAATAAAAATATAAACACCACTAAATATTAATAAAATGTACGACCCCAAGTAGAATATTTTCTGTCATTTCGTGACGTCACTGCGTCCTTAGCAACCGTGATGAGGCCACCGTGTTGTCTACGAACCGCGGCAGTTTTGTTCCTGGTTGTACAATTGTACAAAAAGTTGTACAATCAGTTATGTGGTTGTACGCACTTTTGAAAAAAGGTAGAAATGTTGTACAATTTAAAATTGCTAAATATTTATGTAAAATCTGGTATATCGTAAATCGTATGGATTAAAATTAATAAAACAATGTTTGAATTTGGCGCCATTCGCGACCAATCAGTACACCGTTTTATATCGAAAACATTTTTTAAACTGGGAAAAAAGAAGAATTTTAAGCATCGGGAACTAGTAGACTAATTAGTGGTTGTACAATCGAACGTAAAAGTGTACAATTTTGACATTAAAAGTTGTAAAATTTAAAAATCCCTAGGAACAACACTGAACCGCGGTACTATGCCACGGACTGTAAGCACTAATGCACTATATTATTGAAATTTAATAAAATATTTCCATTAAAAATCATCATAAATAAAAGTAATTTTATAGTAAAATATTTTTTCTAAGGTTACTTACATTAATAAAAAAAACTTGTTTTCACAGAAACGATAAATAAAACCAATATTTTTAATGAAATTAATTTTCGAATTTTATTCCTTAATTTAATAAAATAAGTACTAGGTATAAGTAAATTAT